TCCAGTGCACCAAATTAGGAAGGAAGGCATCAAAACCTCTTGTTATTAATTCTGGTGTTCTTCAAGGTGCTGTTCTGTCACCATATCTTTTTTCTGCCTTTATTAGTGATCTTTTTGTCCCACCTCCTGCACACATCCAAAAGTATGCTGATGATGTCCTTTTGTCTCAGACAATTTCATCTCCCTCGGACTTTCATTCTTTTACTGAAAAACTTTCTCATATCCAACAGTTTTCTGACCAATCTGGTCTCAGTCTTAACATATCTAAGTGCGTAGAGTGTATTTTCAGTCTTTCCCGCTCCTCATTTCCAACGGANGCCCACAGTCAGTCCTGTCATCTTTCGTTCATCAATGCGTTTTACCCATTCTACTTTATTGCTCTCCTGTAGTGTTTTCCGGTCTTTTAAAACACGACTTCAAAACAATTCGCCGCGGTTTGGTGATAATCAGTCGTGCATCACTAATCCCAATTGATTTATTAATCACAGATCTCATAGTCACATCAACTCTTGTTTTAAATTTGCTCACATGATTCTAGATGACCCTCTTCATCCACTACACCCTGATCTATCGTCTTGTCGTTCCCATCCGTCCTCATTTCGACAGCTACCCTCTCGCATTAAGATTTATAAAAATTCCCCTGTACCCTACCTGGCCCGACTACTCACCAAAAAGGTACAGGTCTCAAATGAACTACGTCAAATGCTTTGTACATGATATGTATATCACCGATTTTGTTTACCTTTTGTTTTGATTATTTTTATTTCATTCTGCGTGACGAACAATGTACATTTTTAACTGAAATGTAAGCATATAGGCTTACACAAGATACAAGTTACAAATACGTCACCAAATTATAAATCCACGGGCACGACACGGCCAGTTAAAAATTGCGAGAGTTCAATCACATGGTCAAAGTGAATGGAGCTTTTGTCCTCCCTAACTGACTAAAGGAAGGTTAGGTCATGCAAAACTTATTTGCAGCTCATGGAGTTGATTCGAGGTGAACAAGCCTCAAAAGCCATTGGGATGGTTCTGCGTCAACTGTTGTAGGTTAGATGCGTGTAACATCAGCCAACAGGAAGCTGGGATTGATTTTCAGTATTTTCATAATGACTAGGAATGACTGGAAAATGTTTTTCAGTCATTCATATATTACTCATTGTGAACAAGCTAAATGAAAGGAATGTCTTACAAACACTCCAGGTCTCAAGTTTTATCAACTGCATTCCGTTTTCACTTCCTTTTCTTTCCGTAATGGGTCCAGAAACACCTTTTGAACAATTAATCTATTATCACCATCCACTTGTGACCTTGTCACCTAACCTCCGTCCGTGTAATCTCATTTATTCACAACGTTTCTCGACCTGCCCAACTTCAACCCACACACACACACACGCTCCATGCATATGAGCTATCATATTTCACCATGTCAATCCACGCAGTTAGTGCACTTACACAAGAGTCTCCTCTGACTCCTGTTTGCTCTCATATAAAGTATGCTACATTTGCCTGATCGATGAAGCCTGTTAGTTAGTCTCTGGTGATCATCTATCATAAATGCTTTAGCACCTCAAACTCCGTTAAATTTCAACTCATAGACAGAGTTGAGGTCAATGTCATCCGCCGGTAAAGCCCTAAACTATTTGTTCAATGCAAATTCGTACGACCTCCAGAGTGGAGTAGCCATGACGCGATTAGAAGCACAGTGATGACACCGCTCACCTATAAATTACGCTTTCCAGTGGTTACATGAACTGTAATCAGATGATGTGGACGTTAAAATCGTTCGAAAATGAGTAATCCCAAAGTTCAGTGTATTTAAATGAAAAAAAATCTACTACAGACTTGCAATGATGGTGCGCTTTCACACCAAGGATTTATTTCTGTCCGTCCGGATTAACTGTGCCTGAAGAAAAGTTATTTGATTCCGCAGAACATCTACAGTCGAATGATGGATTGACAAATACCGGCCATTTGACAGAGTCTAATGACAGTCAATAAATGTAGAGCTTTCTGACATATGCATAAGGTCAAACGAAGGTTATCTAAAGAGGTCCGGGTTCCAATTGTACCAATTACCGAGGCCACTATAACCCATCTACAATTTCTCCTGTTCATTTGA